ATATATATATATTTATATATATAAAAAGTTCTTTCATCTGAATGACAGACTGGACTGGAGGACCAACATGATGCTGTGTACTTTCTATCTATCTGGTTGAGCCTGCTGCTAGGTCCAGAAGGCACCCTTTACTCTCACTATGCACTCGCACTCACTACTCATGTTACTTGTGGTATACCACATAGTTCTACTGTAGGTCCTTTACTTTGGGCGATCGTGGCTCAAGAGTTGGCAGTTTGTCTTGTAATCAGAAGGCTGCCGGTTCAAGCCCCGGCTCCGACAGGCGTTGTGTCCTTGGGCAAGACACTTCACCCGTTGCCTACTGGTGGTGGTCAGAGGGCCCGGTGGCGCCAGTGTCCGGCAGCCTCGCCTCTGTCAGTGCGCCCCAGGGCAGCTGTGGTTACAATGTAGCTGCCATCACCAGTGTGTGAATGGGTGGATGACTGGATGTAGTGTAAAGTGCTTTGGGGTCCTTAGGGACTAGTAAAGCGCTATACAAATACAGGCCATTTACCATTTTTATCATTTTATCTATGTCAATGACATGTCTCAGGCTGTTTCTGCTGATTGTTTTCTTTATGTGGATGATTCTGCTCTTATAGTTAGTAGAAAAAAATCGTTTTAGGAATTAGAATTTGTTGGCCATCAGCTTGAAGAAAACAAACTTCCATGTAAAACATTAATAACAATATAAAACAATGATAGGACAATAAAAGAATTAAAACAATAACTAAGACTATTAAATGAGACCAAAATGCTTGGGTCATAGTGTGTTAAAAGCCAGGGCATAAAAATGTGTCTTTAGTAGTGATTTAAAGTGATCAAGTGTTTGTGCAGATCTAACATTTAGAGGAAAACTATTCCAAAGTCTGGGACCTGCCACAGAGAAGGCTCCATCGCCACGAGATTTGAGATTAGTCCGTGGGATGGACAGCAGTCATTTTGACCTAGACCTCATGTTTTTTCCTGGAGCATAAACAGAAAGGAGCTCAGACAGGTAAGAAGAGCTTGGGCGTTAAGTGACTTAAAAACAAAAAGTCAAAGTTGAAATTGGATCCTGTAGGCGACAGGAAGCCAGTGTAGAGAAGCCAAAACTGGAGTTATACTGTATGCTCTCTCTGTTTGGTACCAGTTAGCAGGCGAGCAGCTGCATTTTGGACCATCTGAAGACGATGAATGGAGGCCTGGTCGAGACCAAAATACAATGAATTGCAGTAGAATCAAGAATCAGATCAAACAATGATAGGTGAACATATACAAATCATGTACACGGCCTAGAAACAAATCGGGAAAAGAAATGCCTGAAAAGAAAAAAAAACATCTACACAAACCAAACCGAATAAAAAAGAAAAACACAATATCCCAAGGAGTATCTAACAATGGACACACACACAATCCGGTCATTAAGTGATGACGTGACGAATCCTACTTCCGGGCCTAAAGTAGTCTGCGTTTAATATGGCTTTTGTGTTGTTAACATGTTTAATGTTTTGTATTTTCTTCTATTTGATCTCAAAAAGCTCCTAAAACAGTCAGCGATCACTGTTGACCTCCCTCGGCTTTTATTACCGCTAATCATTTATTTAAGCTCAGTTTTTAAAACCTTAGGATGTAGCTACAGCCCAGCCCATGCAGCAGTATATGAATGACTAACCTCGTATTGTGGATGGATTATCTCAGTTGTTCTCCTGGCTGAAGTTTGGTCCTTTTACAGCATCCTGCCATGCGATTACATTTGTTCCTGACCACCGAGAACACTCACGTTAACTTTTATCCAGTGGAAAAAAAGTTAGCTTGTTTATATTATGCTAACATAGCTGTGTCGCTAACGGTCACGTAGCACATCATTATATACCAGCTAGCCCAACTTCAGTAACCCTACAAACGTCACTGCTGTTTAGTTTTCTGTCTTCATTTATGCTGGAAGTGATAGCAGAGCTGTACGTTTTAATTTGTTTCCAAAACCCGGCAGTCAGGACATGCTATATTGTATTTAGATAGAAGCTAGCGAGCTAACTCCCTGCTAACTTCTAACTCCGTTAAATGTCATAAATTCCGTTTTCATGGATGCCTGGATGTTAAACTCAATTGTTACACCTGGTAGAGCAGAACGCTGATCATTTTATTAAAGATGAAAGACTTTAGACAGTTTTTCAACTCTCAGTAATGCCATAGTGATCGTTTGATTTATGGACCTGCAGCGGAGTTTAGGCCCAGACACGGCTAGTGACGTCAGAATTAAAGACCGGATAAGCCAGTTTTGAGATGTATATAGCACTTTCAAATGATCATTTATGTGAATATGTGAATATTATTAGTTGAACCAGCACCATCACTCCTGAACAACAGATTGTGTTCATGGATTTGTGCTCCTCACAGGTCAGCAACTACAGACATGATTCATAGAATATGATCCTGGACACTGGACAATATATATGTTTTTAAAATGAGCTAAAAAATGAACATATGTTAAACAGTATTACTATTAATACATTTAACACAGAGAGAAGAAGTAATTCGTTTTACTTATGATGCTATGCACAGTTTACCAATAATGCAGCGGGGTGTTTTTATGATGTTTTATTTAAATCATAACTATGGTAACATTATATTTCCTACTTGAGGTGTGTATGATCAGTCTATCATCTCTGCACATTACCACACACTACTGCTCCAAGGGATACATCTGAAGGTATTTGGGGTTAGTGGCAGGGATTGAACTGGCAACCTTTCAGTTGAGACGCCTGCTCTACCTCCAGAGCTGTCCTACCTTAGTAAACTCTAAGATAATGACAGATGTGGAACAACATAACATCGCACAGCGTGACAATGCATAACATAAAGTGACAGAGTGAATTTTGGTTAATTGTATTCTCCAGTCACAGCATGCGAGGCTGACAAGACTGCATTAGAACACTGGAAACAAATGTTAGTGATCATTTGTCCGTTTGTTAAAAAACAATAACAGTAACATTATTAGATACCACGGTAACATAGTTTACCACATTATTTGCAGTAGTTTGTTACAATGCAGTTTACAATTCAGGACACTGTTTGAGCCCTTCAACAACATCAACATGCAAAATAATTGCATGAGTATTTTGACACCTATTTTCCTAGATGGGTAGATCTGAGGAGTTTGAGGGAAATCATAACACTCTGAACTCATCATAAAAGACTCAGGGGGGAAAAATGGTATTTCTAAAATGAGGGCAATGCTCCTGTAGGCAGAAGCCCTTCACTTGCATTAATTTGCTATTTTTTGCATGCGGCCTGAAACATTTTGATGAGCTCTCTAGGGGCTGCTGTCAGCCTCACCATGGCAGTACTTACCACTTCAATCTGTAGTGCTTTTCTACTGTGAGAGAGCTGTGTGTATGTGTATGCTCTGTGCAACTGCTGGTGTGTTGATTGTGAAAGGGCCATGGTTAAAAAACCCACCTTCGGTTACAGCTACTGGACAGGACACGCAGGGAAAAATGAGAATGGATCAGAGCTTCCAAAATGAGAACACAGCAAAGCAAAAAAAATTTAAAGAGAAAATGTGTGCAATCATGTCATTTTAGCTTTCACTCAACAGTACACTCAGCAGGACATTGTGCTGCCGAATATGTGTTTGTGGACGTGAGTGTGTATGAGAGAGAGGTAGGGAGATGAAACACATGAAGAGCACATTAGACACAGCTGTTCTTTAAGCTGCGAGCCACTTTTCATCTCAATCACATTTTAAATATCTCATGAACAGTGTCAGTGCTGGAGGGACAACTGTGACACTGAGGTGAAATAAAAAAGTAGGTTAAAAAACAGAAGAACAGGAGAACCAGACCCCACTGCAGCTAACAGCACCAAAGATCGTCTCGCTCTGTTTGTCTTTTTCTAAATGAAAAAACAAATCATTAAAAGCTTGCAGAGGCTTTTCGTATCAAGCCAACGCTGTTTTTAGTGGGTGTAAGAATCGCGCTGAATATAGAGTGTTTTGGCCAAACGCGATCTTTGCTCATCACCAGATCAACTTCCCAGGACACGCTGCACATTTGGGATTACTTTGGTTTTAAACCTACATCTGGGTTGGACAACAACAAGGATCATATGCTTCACCACTCTACTTGTCAGTTCCTATTAATGCATCCTTTTAATGTGAGTTTTACTTTCAAGGAAACAAACCACTTCATTAGAAAAATAAGATGTCAAAGACAAATGGTGGTTAAAAAAACATATGTATATAAAAACGTGATCACTCCCTGCTGCTCTAATAGGGTGATATGGTACTACAAGGTCATTAAGATAAGATGGGGCCTGGTTATTTAAGACCTTGTATGTGAGGAGCAGGATTTTGAAGAACCAGGCAGGTTTCTGGCTGTGCAGAGTAGTTGGGGAACCATAAATAAACCTAGTAGAGTCCAGAGTTTGTAGAACTAATCTGAAAAATATAATAGCATGACAGTAAAACTGCAGAGGTTAAGAAATGCAGACTGAGGAAGAGTAGTGTGATAAGAGAGGCTGCTGGCAGATATGGATAATATGATAAACTTGAGCTTTTTCCCTTTTTCAATCATTTATTAAAATGTGTTTCATATTCAGTTGCAGCTGTGAGGTCAGTTTTACGATGCAGGCAGTGATTTCTTCATTCCTTCACAGTGAGCATGTTTTTATAAATAATAACTAAAATCACATTTTATCCCAGTTTATTTTTAACTTTTTCATAATGCGTTTCTTCTGCATTAATTAATTTAGGTATTGGATTTGTTTGCTAGTAGGTTGTAAAATATATTACCTTCACGATCTGTAATGAAATGATCTAAATTTAATCTTAAATACTTAACAAATCCAAATATCTCACTGTGGAATCCCACAGCTACAAAGAAAATCCTCTTCAGTTCACGTTAAACAGCCTTGCTGTTAGCTTTTCATTCCTAATCGTTTGCTACTTACTGTACACTCATTACGTTTCTGTCAGAAGCAGCTACTTCTCACTGCTTTGAGTCCCTGGCCTTTACCAAACATCCGTTTCCTGTGTGTCACATGACTCGCGCTCTGCTGTCATTCAGTAGCTCTTAGCAAAGCACGTCAACCAGCGTCCGATTTCTCAGGTTTCTGTACCTTATCCGACAATGGCAACACTGGTGGCAAACAGGGCGATGGATGTGAACGGCCTGGCAGCGGCTTCGAGGACACATACCCAGGCTGTGACCAGGAACTACATCTCTCAGCCCAGGCTAAGTACGTTGCTAATGCAAGCTACCAGCTAACAAGGTTGTTGTTGCGTTCGGTGGTGTAGTTACGGTAGGAAACGGGATAACTTTGACTCAATGTATAAATGTAGCATTTAAAATGGCACAAGGGACAGTATGTTTACGGACTCGTGCAATAGGTTAATGTGCAGTGTGAAAATATAAAGATGTAAGATTGTGCTTAAGTCTTGGATATCCCATTGAACCGGGACGCAGCATTAGAGGGCATTAGCGTTAGCTAACTATCCACCTGTGCTGCTGTACACAGGGTGTTAAACAAACCAGCTTTTATTTTATAAATATTAATAATTAAATGCGAGTAATTCGGCAATTGAACCGTACTGCTGCTGTACATGCTGCGTTTAAGAATATGTCATTTCTGTCAAACAGCAGCGTAGCCACGCTAGCATGCTGCCTTTCACCAATGTCTGGAACTATTGATCAGATATACTCAGCGTGCGGGGATATGTGGTACACTCAACTGGTCACGAATTTAAAATGTCATATTTGCGTCTTTGCAGTGTTTTACAGGCAGAACTATATTACACAGCCTGTTGGTCGTATGGGCCAGATGGAGGATCTGTCATGTGATCGGATCACATGAGTGAGGCAGCCCGTGGTTAGGGAAGCTGACGTTCATGCTCTCGTGACAAGAATTTCGACATCGCTTTGTAAAATGTTTGACACGAAACTGTAAAAATGTGAAGATTTACAGAGATCTTCTAAAACATGGACTCTCATGTGTCATCTGTCTATTAGGGATAGGCGTGGTGATACGGTATCTACACAGGGGCACCTAATATTGATATGTTTTCATTCAGTTAAAATACTGTGAGAATATTACAGACAGGAAAGCAAATGCAAAGAGATTCAGTCTGGCTTGGACTGACTGCAGTCACTGTTGACATGCACACACTGTTCCCATTAGTCTGAAGCTCAGCTGGCTGTCAGCTGGTTGTGCAGATGTAATAGTTAAATGATCATTTCTGTTTTCTGTGAATTTCTATCTCTGCAAACAGCAACACATTTGTAATTTTCACAGGTTTATCACAGATCATTACTGTATTACTGGAAACAGACTGCAGGTAATTGCCAGCTTTACCTCATGTGATTGATGACTGATAGCAGACTCAGTCTGTGGCAGGTTTTAGTCACCGTCTCGCCATGTTTGACAATCTGAATGTCAGCAAAAAAACACACCAATTGTTACAGCATATCAAAAAATGTGACAATAATTTCATATTGTGAGTGAAATATGATAAAAAAAAATTATTATTGGGTGTCTGGTGATTCCCATCTTTACTGTCTATAGTTATTTGCTCTTATATGGTTGTAACTAAAGGTGATATTTTTATCAGCAGCACATCTGTTACATATTTAGTTGTTTTAAGTTCTTAAACTCCCCGAAAGAAAATGGAAACAATTGAACTGTCAGTCCATTTGTTGGTAATTCATTTTTGCTAAAGTCAGGATTCTGGTGTCGGCCCATTTACAGTTATAAAAAGTTGGACCGTGTTCTTCTCTTTGCGGAATTTCCCCTGCAGTCACCATCCACCCAGCTGGCTGTGGAGGAAACACAGGGACAGTAGCTGCACCTCAGCCCCTCACCTCTCTGACGGTGCACATGCAGGTTGATGTCGTTACTTCATCAGAAGCTAAAGAGGACAAATCCAATATTACAATGATTGATTTGTAAACCAAGTTGTGAACTTAAAGTGTTGCTAACCAATCACACAGCAGCTGTTGTGAAACATCTGAAATGCTGCTTTTTGTCATCTTTATCAACATAGTTGAATTAAACAGGATTCCTAAAACAACTGTCATAAAACGCTAAGAACATATAAGAACATTTAAATGAGAGCAGAAATCTCTATGAACACATTAAAGCTACTAAAGTCTGGGGGTTGGTAAATGTTTTAAATTAATTAATTCATCGTTTACATGAATAGTTGATACGTTAATATTTAAAAAGTCTGTTTTCCCAAACAAAAGTACATTTAACGCACATGTGCTCATACAGATATTTTAATAATATTAACTGAGAAAAGTTGATCTACAGCACAATAAATCATTTGAAAGAATACCAATGGGTTTGACCTCAGTATGCTGGATTTCCTTTACATTAATGTAGACATTTCCTCTATAATTTGACACACAAAAGGTACAAATGGGTGCATAAAACTCAGAATCCTGAACAAATGCCTCATAAGGACAACCTAACCAACTCTTATTATAACATGTTGTCACGACTGCAAAATGTCAGTTATTGATCATATGCCCAGTGTCTTCTGCTGATCCGTATCAGGGTTTGGAATAAACTACTCGGGGTTCTTTGCTTTAAGTCCAGGCCTGGTTGACAGTGTAATCGAGTAATCGGACAGGAAATACTTGTCTCTTATTAATGAGCAGTAATAAATATTCAGTAATACATATGTGTATGTGTGTGTATAAATGTGTGTATGTATATGTGTATAGATAGATAGATAGATTAGTCAAAGACCATATAGGATATATATATGCAGTCTAAATGAAGGCATAAAAAATATGTCTTTGCTTTGTTTCTGGAGGTTTTTGTGCTGCTGAAACAGACGTTATGATGGTGCAGGCATTAGTTAATATTAATGATAAATCAGTGTCCCGCCTTAAAAAAAAAAAAAAAAGTGTACCTGGCCCAAGGACATTTTTAATGGCTTTCAAAAGCTTTTATTTTTATGTTTACAAATATGAATGTAATGTAATTATTACAATATTTTATATTATTTGACTTTTAAAAAAGTTACAAAAGCGTTTAAACGTTGATGGTCTGGTGCAACCATGCCCCCCTTTAGCCTCAGCCCTGTTTCCTGCTGGTATGGCTTCCATGTAAAATGGGACGGCTGCCGTCAGCCTTCAGCACGCTGTACAATTTAAAGGTGGTGTCACATTAGGTTAACAGTTCATCTGCATATTTGAATACAGCTTGTTGGTTACTGCAGGTTTTCTCTGTGTAAAACACACAGTGGTGGATGGAGCAGCTACAAAGTTTCTTTTCTTCAGGTCAGAGTTTGTTGATCAGGAGCTTTGATGAAGGCGTCCTGCGTCGAGTTTATTTATAATCATATTATTGGAATGACTCGATGAATAGTTGCAGGCCTAATTAGGAGCAGAGCATGAGGTTTTAAAAGGGTTTGTGCTGCTTCCACTTAGCTGTGTGATGTTGAGTCTGGCTGGGCTGCTGCAGAAGCCCTGAGCCATGAGGCCAGAGAGCTGTTTTTTTTCTTTCCTGCTCTTTATGCAAGTGTCAGAGAAGCAAGCATGGACTAAAAGCCTCTCAGCAAACTGGAAGGAAATGACTTAATGGTGCTCAGGCCATCTGAGAGCTAAGCAGAAAGGATGCAACATGTGATAAAACCCATCTTCTAAAAACATTGAACAATCCTGCTTCTGAAATACTCTAATTTTGCCATCTTTTTTGTCTCATCAAACACATTACCAAACAGCAGCAGTCCACACTTATGATGAGGCAGCAATTTAGAGCTAAATGATAATCTCAAGTAACTGTTTGGAAAAGTGTGTTTCTCAAATAGTGCAGGTGCTGCATTCACAGTGTGTGTAGCCCTGCTGGAGGAGATGTGTGGTTTGTTTCCATTTGTCTTCAACATACTGCTTATATTTGGGAAAGGCAATGCCTTTGTCACAGTCTAAAGGTAGTGTGTGACATTGACTTTAGTGCAAAACCATTGAATTTATACATCACTGAATGTTCCAGTAATATAGGCCCATAAAATAAACCTGTAGTTTCTGGTGTCCTCTGCAGTTCATTTAAAATCCTGGAACTTGAACAACATGATGGTGGAGCTTGGTCTCAAGAGAACAAAGAAGCAAAGAAAGCATAATCAGCAGCATGGATGGGGCCAACTGTAACTTGGTCTGTTGGCGAGCTTTAACGTGGTGTAGACATGTCTCTAAAATAACAGTGTCTCTTATGTCGTCTTTCTTCACTTTGTTACACAGAACTATCTGAGAAGTGCTGAAACTTTGAGTTGCTTTGAAGAAAATACTTGGCAGGTGATTAGGTTAACCATTTGTCCCTTTTTACCATGGGCTGACTTCAGCCAATCAGATAAGCAAAAACATGGGATACAGACATTGGCTTGTCATGAAATTATTGTTTGTCGCTATGTAAGGAACATTCACAGTCACTGTGTAAAGCGCTCGTCTAAAACGTGCCCGTGATTAGTCCAACTGTGAGCACATGGCTGCCTGGTAAGATACACGTGATCAGTGTATTGCAACCTTTGACATCTCACAGATTCTGATGCTGCAGGTTTCGTCTCTCTGACCAAAATTCACTGAACCAGCAGCAAAAGAAGATCCAAACTCCGCTTCACGTGTGGATGAATTCCCTCTGACTTTTGCTGTTTTGCTTCCACCACGATGCTTCCACTTCCTGCACAGCTCTCGCTCTCTCTCTCTGTGTATGTGTGGGTCATGCTTTTATACTAGAATATATTTTACCATGGGTAATGGTCAATTGGATCTGTGTCTCAGGCCAGTTTTGACCAAGTATGTAGGAGGGAGCTAAAGAAAACGCGTCTTTGTCCTTCTGCCATGAAAGGCTAATGGGGTTCTGTCATCATCTTGCTGGGTGGGCAGCGTGGACACTTAAGTTTGTAAATATGATGGCAGCAAACCACTCCAGTGTGAGCTGGAGGCCACCGCTTGATGACCCATCAGAGCCACATCCACATAAAGCAGAGATGGCATCCTAAGGCCACCGAGGTGAAAGCCTGTTGCCACGTGGCTTTGCTACAGGACGGCCTTCAGAGGTACAAACAAAACGTTCTTTAACCATCCTAATGATGTCGTTCACGGTGATGGGCGAGTCATCTCCTACGTTTCTATACTCTGGTATAGGAAGGCCTGTTGGTGGGATTGAAGACATCCTCAAAGTATCCCCCACATCACCTGACTACATCCTTAGTTGAAGTCAGTAGCACCTCACCCACA